CTGATGAGGCACGAAGGCCGATACTAGTAGAGTTTAAATTGGGAATTGGGCCGGATTTCCATTGCTATAAGGGTATGTTTGGTTCAAGGAATGTCAGATAATCATGGGAATGTTAGATTACTGGGTATGTTAGATAGATGGGAATGTGATTAATGTATAGCCTATTTGTGTTTGGTTACGATTAAGGAATGTCACATTAAGTTGTTTGGTTGAATGATATCTTTTATTGCATATTTGGTGAATTACTTGAATGTCCTTTATATATTTGTCTCTTAACACATTAAATTTATCAATTATTAGAAAATGTATTTCATGTTTTAATTTTTTTTCTCAATTTTCAATTGTAGTTCATGTTTCAAATAAATATACTTTAAGTTTTTATATGTATCACTTCTTGAATTATTTTTTAGACATGAATTAGAAAAATGTACCCGGCCCGGCCCGTTACCCGGGCGGGTAGACCGCCCCAAACCGGTACTGGTCAACAGCCGTTCCAGTCCCGGGCTTCATTCCCAAAAAGCCAAGCCCTTCCGGGCCCGACCCGGAACCGGAATCGGACTGGGCTCAGTCCACATCTAGATATTTCGATTAATGAAGCATAGCTTTTTTTGGAAGAAAATTAATAAGCCATCAGGAATCTAACATAACCTAAGGCATTGGTGGGTTTGACATGCCTGGTAATGTGATCACCTTTTCTACTTTTGGGAATGTAACATTCCCAAAAGAAAAAATCAAACCCGCGAACCAAACACAGGTATCTCACATTCCGGGCATGAGATTCCGCCATGCATAAGATATCACCTTGAACCAAACACTCCCTAAGTGGATTGCTTGTGGGCCAGGTTTTGAGAAAAACATCGATTCTCATTTTAAAGAGCTAAGTACACATAGCTCTCTCATTTATTTTAAAATATTGCTATTTTTTTTTTTTCTTATCACCATTATTTAAAAGGGAGTAAATTTTCCCAAATAAATAATGCCGAGTGAAGCTCGGGGATGAGCTTCCAGCGTCACTTTGATTTAATAATTAGAGGACGAGCTGAGCCGGGCCGAGGGTCATCGTGCCCCAAGGTCGACGCTCATGTCCGGAAGAACTGGGTAACGGGACGAGCCGATGGTCATTGTACCCGAGGCCGACCGTCATGCCCGGATGAACCCCAAACCGATTTACAAATTTAAAAAAAAAAGTGTGCACATATACATATTGTCTGGCCATTTGGCCGCGTTACTATGTTCATTGTGCAGATTAAGATCATAGTCAGATAAGAGATGATGCTCAAAATGAACCTTAGAGCCAAGGGCCGTGGACGAGCATCTTTCACCCCGGATGCCGAGGGCCCGAAGACGATCATCTATCGTCCAGTGGCCTAGGCCCGGGGACGAGCATCTTTCACCCCGGAGGCCGAGGGTCTAAAGAGAACCATCAAGAGCCAAGGGTCGTGGACGAGCATCTTTCACGCCGGATGCCGAGGGCCCGAAGACGATCATCTATCGTCCAGTGGCCTAGGACCGGGGACGAGCATCTTCCACCCGGAGGCCGAGGGTCTAAAGAGAACCATCAAGAGCCAAGGGCCGGGGACGAACATCCATCATCCAGAGGCCAAAGACTGGGGACGAGCATCCCCACCCCGGAGGCCAAGGGCATTGAGGCGCGCAACACATCCTCAAACCGAGCATGCCTAGGCTAAGCATGTTGAGGTAGAAATGTCCCGAGGAGACCCAACCTAGCAACTGGAGGTCGAATGTCTCTAGGAATAGGCCGAGGATTGTCGCTGTATGACGACTCCGAGGTCTGCTACCGGGTCGTGCATCAAAAGCAAAGACACATCTAGGCCGAGTTTCTAGGGATGAACGTCCAAAGGAAGTCGGGTCGGGCATCCGTGGGCCGAACGTCCCAATCCCTCGCACCCAGGCCAACGCATTGAATTAGCCTTTTCTCCGAAAGCCGAGGTCATGTGCAGAGAAGGCAGAGGAAGAGCGTAGGCAAGAGTATACTTTCTCGAGCAGATTCGCACGCTCACTACTCAAGAAACTGGGGGACTTGTGTTGAGGTATATTATCCCGGTCCGTTACTGTTCAGGAGCCCAAGACATCGCCCCAGCTTGGAGCCCGAATGACAAGGTCCATTTCAGCCTATTAGGCATGTTTCGGCCCCTTGGGCCCATTTTGGGCTTACTTGGCCCATTAGGTTAGGTTTCCCCTTTCCCTTACCCCTATAAATATGGGGCTTTCCCACATGTTTAGGGGGTCTTTTGGTTGATCCTTTTCTTCTTCCTCCTTCTCTCTAGAATAGCTTACAAGACTCTATTAATGGGAGCTCAAATTGTACTATGTAATGGTGAGGAGAGTCCTAATGAGAAAGAGAGGGCTTGGACATTAGCCTAAAAAGTCCCGTGGTTTTCTCCCTTTCGGGTTTCCACGTAAAAACTGAGTGTTCATACATATATTTATGAAATTCATTTTTTCACAAAGTGAGGCTGTGTTTTCACTTTGAATGTTTCCGTCTAAATCCGTCAGAAAGAAGGTGACATTTCACTTTTTTTTATACATCCATTACATCTTCATTTTTACGACGTTTAGACGGAAATCCTCAAAGTGAAAGTACATGTCTCACTTTGTGAAAAAATGAATCTCATACCATTATTTGAAAACGGCCAAAACCACGAGTACTGTTACTCTACTTTTCCCAATCTTATATTTGTCCATTGCAAATAATATTTGTGTAACGCATGCATGATAAAATTGCTTATTACACACTTTGTTACTCTATACTACATATTTTATACTACAATTATCCGTCCCTAAAAGAGTTCTCACTTTTCTTATTGTGTGTCCAACATAAACTTATCATTTTGATAAAAGGTAACTTTTCTATAACAATATCAAAATCATCCTTACTTTTTACTTGATTTGACATAAAGTGAGACTATTAGTGGAAAATCAACTTCCTATTTTAGCTCACATAAAAACGTGCGTTTCCTAATGAAGGAACATAAGATAAGAATTATGTTTGGGATTTTAAGGTGATGGTAAGATAATGTTAATTCATCTTAATCATCTCTTTTGAACAAGATTGTACCGTTTGGCAACACTGATTTAGGTAACAGATTTATCAATCAACTTTTTCACCAAACACATAACTTTTGTTTTCGTGAACTGAATTGTGTAATAAGCAAAAAAGTAAGGTTGAAGTAACTTTTTTGACTGTATTGGTTGAAGTTACTGCACATGATCATTTAGCTATTTTACATATAATTATTTCTTTATTTTATGAATAAAATATATTTTAAAAATATTTTTTCTTAAATAAGAAAAATCAACTAATGCAACCACTTCAGCCAAAATTTCATAAATTTTAGCATAATCAGCCAAATCAGTCAATTTTCGTGCTACCAAACGGAATCTTAGAAAGTACATGAATTTTTTTGATCTATGTGTATAACAAAATATTTGTACTCCTACTTTTTTTTTATTTTTTTGTTTTTGCAAATGTACTCCAAATTTTATATCCAAACAAAGAGGGTTTCCTTTTCTGTTTCAAAATGGCGTTTTTGAGGGTTGTGCTTGGCCGTTTCCTATTTGGTGTACATTTGTGCAACATAGACGCCATCATGTGACATGTTTTTAGGATGTTTTCTTTTGGACTGTTTTCAGTCCCAGACCAGACCAGACCAGACTTAAACAGACCAGACCAGACCAGACCAGACCAGACTTAAACAGACCAGACCAGACCAGACTTAAACAGACCAGACCAGACCAGACTTCCGTAGTTATAAAATACACAGAGACCAGACGTTTACCAGACCAGACCAGACCAGCTCAGACCAGACTAGACCAAACCAGACTTAAACAGACCAGACCAGACCAGACCAAACCAGACCAGACTTAAACAGACCAGACCAGACCAGACCAGACCAGCAAATTTCAGTCCAAAAGAAAACATCCTTAAAGGAAAAAGAATAGGAAAACCCTAACCTACTTGCCTTGTTCAATCAAGAAGCACCACATCAGCCGTGAGTTGATTTATACTGAAAAATTAGTAGATCCTCTGTTTTTTAATGGAAACATGTGAATTTTTACATTATTCACAGGCTCTACTTTGACTATATTTTACGCTATTATTTTATGAACATTATTTTCTAAAAAAGTATTGTTCAATTCATCTTATTAAAAAAATTCAAAATCTTGTTTTTAATTTTTTTACTAATAGAAACTAAAATATATATTTACGATCAAAGATATGTGTTGATAAATGTGAAATGTTGATCGTTGCAACTAAGACAAATGGATAAAGTATACAACAATTCAACGTTTCTCTACTTTGATCCGTCTCCACAACATATTTAAATTTACTGAAATTTAATGGATTTTAAATAAATTACACCAGACTTAAACAGAAAAGATAGTTATAAGATCAAAATTAACTTAAATAAATTAAATCAAACAACATTAGACAAAGAAAACAAATTAGTTTATATCCAAGTAAAAATATGAGTGCATGTAATGGACTTATTTTTATAAGAATCTACTTTCTAAACCAAAGTATGAAAGAGAGAGCTCCTTTAATAAAATTGAAATTAATTAAATTCGTTGAAATTGATAATATCCTGGTCATAGTAATTGAATTGCGAAAATTTATATTGAAAATATAAATTATTAGAAAAATTAAGAAAAATACTTTGTTTATATGACAATTATTTTAATTTTATTTATTTTGATTATTACGAGTATATATCTTGTATTTTTATCATCACGAGAAAAATACAGAGTAAAAAGTTAGAAGATAAATAAACCAAAACCAGGTTACTTTATCATCACTTTCCGCTAAAATAGCAAAAAGAAAATAATTGATCTTAACTGCAAGGTAAAACAGAAGAAGTACGGACCAGGGGCAGGGAGTACTAACCGAACTCTTTACCGATCTTAATGATTTAATTAATTGCAGAGTACAAATATTTCAGCTTCAGCCATCTTTTACTAGCTTTGAAAGTCAAAAGAAATTTTAAAAAAATGGCAAACTCGGGGTTGCAGAGAATAATGGGCAAAACTAGTTGGTTGTGCAAAAAGTGTTCTTTATTTTTGTTAGAGAGAGAAATGAGATTTCTGGAGAGGAGAGAGAAAGAAAGCAAGGATCTGCAACAGCGGATGTGCAAAAATCCTTAAAATTCGATTCAGTCACTTTGAAAAGCAAGGAGAAAAAGAAGATGATGAGTAGTACTTCACATTATTTTATTCCTAGAGTGTATCACTTCCCAACAAGTTGTTGATAATAAAAGCAGAAATTTTGTTTAGTAAGAGAAGAAGAAGAAGAATAGTAAGAGAAGAAGAAGGAAGGCTTAATTGCGAAGTAGTTTTAACAAGATTTGGGTGTTTTGGGAAACCAATCCAAAGAAGGCACAACTATAATATCTTCAAGAACACCCAATAGTTTGTTGTGTTTCTCCCCCTCCTGTGGTTGTGCTTCGCTGGTCAAACTCACTATTTTATGGTCCATTGAACAGCAAACTTGCTGTTCTTTGGCTGTACTCTTTCGTCCTCGCTCACAGGGAGGACAGTACAGGTTTCCTTGTAGAGGTGGAAAGTTGGAGTAACTTTTTTCACTCTTTCAGTCACCCCTTTCTCCTTGCAGTTTGAGTTATTTTTGCTACTCTTGAGGGACCTTCAGGCAAGCCTTGTTCTACTCCATGCTTATTCCATTCTATGAGGTATGGAGTTTTCATCTTTCTTAAACCCCCACTTTTTCTGGTTTCTTGAAAAAAAAACTTTGGGCAGAACAAGCACTGTGTGTGTTTTCACACAAAAACTGTGTTTTCCTTACAGATTTCCATTCTATATGTTTCTTGAAAAACATTGACGGGAAAAACCTGGGTTTGCACTTTGCACCCAGAAAAAGAAAAAAAGAAAAGTAGTTTTCTTAAAGACTGCAACTTTTTCCCCAAGAAAATTAACATTCGAGTTTGCCTGATAGTAAATGGTGGGATTGGCGGCATGTTGTATTAGGTGGTGAGTTGTGGATGAAAAAGGCACTGAAGTGGTGGGGCGTTGTTCTTGTTGAGATGGGTCAAAAGGTGGTGGTTCAAAAAAGCCAAAGCAGACACCACATGGTGACGATGAGGTTGAATGAGCAGTTGAACAGAAAGAAAAGGTACCCATGGATTCACAGGTATTGGCTCCCAAAGCTGTTGACCCTATGGCTTCTAGCAGCTTCCCTGGTCAGCTGGGCCATATTCAGTTACCTAGACAATGGTAACAAGGTGAGGAGGAACGAGACACTGGTGAGTATGTGTGATCAGAGGGCCAGAATGTTACAGGACCAATTCAGTGTTAGCGTTAATCATGTCCATGCCCTTGCCATCCTCGTCTCCACTTTCTATTACAACAAGAACCCCTCTGCAATCGATAAGGTCAGACTAATTTCTGAATAGATCATTGATTTGTGTTCTTATGTATGTATATTGATGTGTAAATGTTATGTTTGAAGGAAACTTTTGCCGAGTATACGGCGAGAACAGCTTTTGAGAGGCCATTATTGAGTGGTGTGGCATATGCTGAGAGAGTTATGAATTTCCAGAGGGAGAACTTTGAGAAGCAGCATGGATGGACTATTTGAAAAATGGATAAAGAGCCTTCTCCCATTCGGGATGAGTATGCCGCGGTCATACTCGCTCAAGAAACTGTTTCTTATCTCGAATCAATCGACATGATGTCTGGAGAGGTATTATAGCTCAGTTAAATCTCACTCTTGATTACACACGCGCGCACACACAAGCAAACAAACAAATATGGAGATTCTTGAATCTTGATTGAAAACAGGAGGACCGTGAAAACATATTGAGAGCCAGGGCGACTGGGAAAGCTGTTCTGACAAGTCCCTTCAGGCTTCTCGGTTCTAACCACCTTGGTGTTGTTTTGACATTCCCTGTTTACAAATATACGCTGGGTGCTTACCCATCCCAACAAGAAAGGATTCAAGCAACTGCAGGGTATTTCTTTTATTTATGAAGATTTTTTGTTCTTTTTGAGTTTGTAATGGTTGAGATGATTAAGTGTTTCAATGAAGGTTCTTTTTTGAGTTGTAACTGGTTGAAAAGAGGTTGTAACTGTGGGAATGCTATAGATGTTGTTTCCTTTCAGGTTGTGTAAAACCTATTATTTTAAGTAATGTTGTATTAATATCTACAGCTGAAGCCAAGTAAACAGTTAATATCTACTTAAATTGCTAGCTTACTCAAAACAGTGAGATGGTCTTTTCCATGATTAGCTTGGCAAGTGAAACCTAAAACTCAGAAATCTGGTAATACATGGAAACCTGTTCAATTAAATGTATATAAGTTTGGTCAGATTATTGAAAAACTACTTGAATTAAGTAATGCAGTAAAATGTGGAAGACACACTATCCATGCATGTGCTCGTGTGATATTGTAGCTCTCTGTTTTGCTGATTTTACATTCATTAAAAATTTAAATCGCAGCTTTGTGTTTTTATCTGAACATAGAGTTGGTATGTTTTGAAGCCTCATAAAGAGCCCATTTGATAAGAGGATGTTGGCTGAAATGGCTGGCTTATTCTGCTGGATTTTCTTAAAGTGAAAGCATGCCATTATCCATTTCAGCCAAATAAGTAAATCAAAAGTTACTTATTTTCTTGCAAAAAAAAGTTACTTATTCTGACTATATATAGAATAATCAGGATAAGCCAATCATGGGTGCCAAATGGAGATTTAAAATACAACATGTTCTTAAGCTGTATTAGTTTATTTGCACACAGCCACACACATAGGGTCTTTTATAGAATTGTCTCACTTTTATTTACGATTTATTCTTCTGTAATTCAGCATTTACTATCACTTTCCTGAGAAAACTTGGAGTTCAACACTTTAACTTTGTATGTCATTAATAAATATACAGATACATTGGTGGAGCCTTTGATGTTGAGTCACTTGTAGAAAACCTGCTTGGCCAACTAGCTGGAAACCAAGGAATTGTGGTAAATGTATATGACATTACCAACTATTCTGACCCTCTAGTCATGTATGGACAGCAAAACCAAGTGGGAGACCTGTCCCTTAAGCATGTAAGCAAGCTTGATTTCGGAGATCCGTTTCGTAAGCATGAGATGATATGTAGGTTAGTGTCTCAATCTGCTTTCGTCAATGATATGTAATTCTGAAAGAAAATGATTGATTTTTTGGGGTAGTTATGATCTGTTTGCTGCTGCAGATATCTTCAAAAGGCGGCTACATCATGGGCTGCTTTGATCATTGCTTCCTTTTTCTTTGTGATTGCCGTTTTGGTCGGATACATCTCATACGGTGCTGCATTTCACATCATTAAAGTGGAGGATGATTTCCACAAAATGCAGAAATTGAAGGTTAAAGCTGAAGCTGCTGATGTTGCCAAATCTCAGGTTTTCCAAATGAGTCTTTCCCAACATGTGGAATCTTTTTGCTACCATTGATTGAGTAATTACTTGATCTGTTTCCGGTTTTATTGACTTTTTTCGCTAATAATGACAGTTTTTAGCCACTGTTTCCCACGAAATAAGAACTCCCATGAACGGAATCCTAGGTAGGGAGATACTTTTCCTTGGCTTTTATTTTTTGGACAAGTTAAGTGTTTCAAATAAATCTCTTTAATGCGTATCTAATACTGCAGGAATGCTTGCTCTACTATTAGATACAGACATGAGTTCGACTCAAAGAGATTATGCACAAACAGCACAAGCTTGCGGTAAGGCACTGATAACGTTGATAAATGAAGTGCTAGATCGGGCAAAGATTGAAGCTGGAAAGTTAGAACTTGAGACTGTCCCTTTTGGTCTTCGTTCCATACTTGATGATGTCCTCCCTTTATTCTCAGAGAAGTCTAGGAAGAAGGGCGTTGAGGTAATTAAGGGCTATTAAGTTTTCTAGATATGAATTACTATTGGGCTTTCTGTTATGTAACAAACTTTTTACTATAGATGTACTTAGTTGTGTATTTGTTTTATTTTTTTGGTTATTCATTCACCTGATGAATTGTGGGGGCTGGTATACAAATTTCTGGAAGTGAAGTTGGCGGTCCTCGTCTCTGATAAGGTTCCTGAAATTGTAATGGGAGATCCAGGAAGATTCAGGCAGGTCATAACAAATTTGGTTGGTAACTCTGTCAAAGTAAGTGATGGTTGACAAACTTACATTTCCAGCCTCTATCACCATAATATACTCGTTATTATAAACAAATTGATAGTAAAGGTTCATTTAGTTACACTTTCTGTAATTTTTATTCTGTTCTCAAATTTAAAAGTATAAAACATGTTTGATTGGCAGGTGTCTTTTAGTCTTTTTCTATGTACGTACTCCCTCCTCTGTATTATTTTGTTTTCTATACTCCTTATGAGATGTATTACGGCTCCTTTAAAAATACTCAATTATCTGTACTTTTTTTTACATTTTATCTCTTCTTTCATACTTTTTAACTCTCCTGCTTTTTTACACTATTCATTATCCCTATTATGTTTCCCTTAAACATTGTGTCAAACCCTATTGTAACAAACATTACAAAACGGAGGGAGTATATATATCCACCCACCCACCCACCCATTTATTTATTATGGATATAATTTCATAGAAATTCTCAGTGCTTCATGAATAGTGTCAAAGCTGAATTCATGTAATTAAAAACAAAAAAAGTGTTTTGTTTCCAAGAAAAGCAGAATTATAATCATTACCAAACACCTGTTGAAAAACTATAAGGCCACTTTAATCCATTGATGACTTGAACCTTTACTGTAATCCTAATATAAACTGTGAATATAACCAGTAATTTACATGTATTAATTACAGTTCACAGAACGAGGACATGTGTTCATTCAAGTTAGTCTAGCCGAAGAGGCACAACCAACGAGCGAAGCATGCCTGAATGGAGTAGGATCTGTTCAAACCTTAAGTGGTTTTGAAGCTGCTGATAATCGGAGCAGTTGGGACAATATTAAGCATGCTGATGAAACATTTTACTATAATAAGAACAATAATACAGATGGAAACGATGAAGACGCCCCGTCTTCTGAGAAGGATATAGTCACACTGATGGTATCAGTTGAAGATACTGGAATTGGGATCCCTTTGCATGCACAGGACAGAGTGTTCACTCCCTTCATGCAAGCAGACAGTTCCACTTCCAGAAACTATGGAGGGACCGGGATTGGATTGAGTATAAGTAAGTGTCTGGTTGAGCTGATGGGTGGTCGTATAACTTTCATCAGCCGTCCCGATATAGGCAGTACCTTCTCTTTCACTGTTAAGTTCCAAAGGTATGAGCCAATAAATGGAGACATTGAATTGAAAAAGAGTCTTCCAGACGACTTGCCCTTGTCGTTCAAAGGACTAAGAGCTATCGTAGTTGACCGGAAACCAGTTAGAGCTTCTGTTACTAGGTATCATCTCAAGAGACTTGGTGTGCATGTTGAGGTGGTAGACAGCATTAAGAAAGCATCATCAGCTTTATCTGGGAGAAATGGTTCCCTGATTTCCACGTAAGTGTATTCTTAGGGTTCATCTGGAACTCGCAAAATAATGAGGGAAGAAAATGATAGAAAATATAGGAGAAATGTGCAATAAAGAAAACGTGTGGGACATTTCGTTCAAACTCAATTTTTTTTAGGTTTGTTAAAACTCAGTTTAATTATCTATTTTTATTAGAGTAAAAATACTTTTAGCCTATTATTATTTAGTGACTTTAGTGACAATACTAATGCTCAATTTTGCACTGGATTCATAATTGTAGTGTCCGTATATCATATTTCTGTTCATGATTTGTTTAGTAATATGGAGTGTGTGATTGTTTGTGGTTGTGAGAATTGAGAAGTGATTTATTTTAGAGATTATAGAAAAAGTGATTAATTGTAAAAGTAAGTATTGTTTGAAAATAAACCGATTAATGTACTTATTAGTGTATTGTTAGAATAAAAGTTATAGAGAAAGTAAAAAGTAGTTTTAAGCACCTCCGCCAACAGCTTTGTCTTTAAAGTTCTTAAATTTAAGAAAAAACGTGCCTTTTTTTGAAACCAAAACGTACCTCTTTTAAAACACTAATTTTAGCATTATTAAAGCAAAAAGTTGAAAAACACTTTAAAAAAGCATTTGCAAACAGTCCTATTATAAGAAAATCCCTTTTTTAGAAACATGAATCATATTTCATTTTGATTTTGCATTTTCCATCTGAAATGTAACTCAAGAAATAACTTCCCTTGGCATTTCCCCCCTTTCCCTACCATTTTCCGGGATCCAAATATACTCTTAAGAAGTTCTCTCTAGAGCTTTGTTTTTTTACTTGTATTTTACATTGTTTCTTTGAGATGACTTTTGTCGTTTTTCTCAACAGTCAGCCCGAGCCAGATGTGATTCTTGTAGAGAAAGATGTATGGATATCTGAAGAAGGAGAGTTAAATTTGTTCCTGTCAAATTTGGTGAAACCAAATGGACATACGTACAAAAAGATACCACCAAAGGTGATTCTTCTTGCAGTCGATATTTCTGGTTATGAGTTTGAGAAAGCGAAAGCAGCGGGATTTGCAGATACCATAATTATGAAGCCGTTGAGGGCAAGTATGGTGGGAGCATGCCTTCACCAGGAATTGGGAATGGGAAAGAAGATCCCACAAGATAAAGACAGGTGTAAAGGATTGTCATTGAGAGGCCTACTGTGTGGAAAAAGAATATTGGTCGTTGATGATAATCGGGTTAACCGGAGAGTTGCTGCTGGTGCGTTGAAGAAGTTTGGGGCTGATGTGGAGTGTGCCGAGAGTGGGAAAGCTGCCCTTGCATTGCTAGAGATACCCCACAATTTTGATGCCTGCTTCATGGATATTCAGATGCCTGAAATGGATGGGTAAAAAATAAATCTCTATTTCATATACTTTTCATGTATACCTAAAATGTATTCTAGTGCTTTTATATTGAGGTTCAGAGAGCCTGCTTGGCGAGTCTTCGCTTATCAGCTTAATGAGCCAGTTTTTTCGCGAAATTCTAACTACGGAGTATATATTATTGGCATGTTGTTTGAATTGGCTGTTAATGAAAAGAATAGGCAAGTGTTACCTTTTGAATGATTAGAAACTTAGAACATAGACAGTCATACTGTGTATGTAACAGTGTAACACATTAAAAAAATAACGTGTGAAAGAGTCTTATCTTTATTGTAAATTGTCTATTAATGATGCAAATGAACCTTATTTCTAGTGATCTCAAGCAAGAAAAATGCTACTTGTAATATGTAATAATAAAAATAATAACAGAAATGGAAAACATTATTGTTAGTGCAGACTATCTTGATGTGTGTAAATATAAACATAAAATTAACAGTCAAAATAAGACATGTACACACATCGGAGATCGGCTGCACTAGTACAGTTTTCTATTCTATATTATTATATTATTATATTATTTATTTATTGCATTTTACCAATAGCAGTGTACTTTCTTGAGATCACTAGAAATAAGGTTCATTTGCACCATAAATTGACAATCTGCAATAAAGATAATATTCTTTTACATGTCAGAAATAATTTACTCTACAAATTAGCTTCATTCACACCATTATTTGACAATTTACACACAAAAAAGCAAGAAATGGATACTTTTGAGATTATTTTTAGTTATTATTCAGCACATTCAACCATCTTTACCCTTAGCAAAAGTGCTCTTAGACTCAAAGATTTTGATGGCCATATTAGACTCTTAAAAACCACTATTTTTCTGTTGTCATTCTTATTTTGGGAAGAAAGCATAAACTTTGGGTGTTAGAAATAGGGCATATATATGTTTTACTCCCATCTAGTGCAAATTATATACCTCACACCTACACTCTGCTAGTCCCCGCCTACAGATTTGTTTGACTTACCCATGCACATCTTATTCTTTACAGATTTGAAGCAACACGTCGTATTCGTAACATGGAAAAAGAAGCAAATGAGCGCGGGGCGAACGGAGGAAGGCCTGAGTGGCATGTGCCAATATTGGCCATGACTGCCGATGTCATTCATGCCACGTCAGACAAATGCCTCAAATGCGGGATGGATGGATATGTCTCGAAGCCGTTTGAGGAAGAGAATCTCTACAAGGCCGTTGCCAAGTTCTTTGAGTCGGGGCCCCCGCCTGATAATTAGTATTCTGGACAATTTTCCACGTTTGCCGCTGGTGTTTGCAGGTTAAGCATTGTGCTGTTGATAGCCATAGCCTGTTTCAGTGTAACTACTTTGCTACGAAATGTGTGTGATGTATACTGCTCCTGAAATCAGAATGGTCCTTCTCCTAGCTGTTGGTACATTTAAAAGTGGAGAAACTTAAAGGGATTACAATCTGACAATGGAAGCCATAGATGTACTTATTATACTATAGATATTCTTGTATGAGGTTGCTATTAAGGTTTTCCATTCCTTTAATGTGTTCAGTAGAACATGTTCTTTTCACCCTTCAGCAATAGTTTAATAAAATTCACATCACATATCATACTAAGGTAGATCAAGTCTGATTCCGGTAAAAGAGAGAATGAGAACCTTGACCAGGTTTTAGCCTATTGTTCACAAAAACGGAATTGGTTGATTTGGGTTTTATTATAGTCCCTCCATCCCATTGGACTTTGCTAACTTTTCCCTTTTGGTTGTGACTTGTCTCATTGTACTTTGCCAACTTTCCATTTTTTGTTGTCCTAAAAACTTTACTATGTGTTGGTACACGAGTTGGGTGGCCTGGACTACATTCAAAAATGGTTGACCATGGCAATCAATGACACATTCATTAGGATTAATGCTAGCTAATTAAATTTGGGCAGTTTTATGTATATAATTAGAGTAGTTATTGTAATTATGACATAGGTTACTCAAAGGGCTGACCAGAATTGATGATGCAATAATGACGATATTGATGTCGTCGTGACGGTCGGACATGTTGTCATAACGGTCGGAACATGTCGTCAACGGACAAAAGTGCATTAAATGTATCTCTTATAAATATCTAGAGGCTCTATGTAATCAAGACATTCAGACACGAATACACAGACACTCAGTTACGAATACACACAAAAGAGTTCTCCTATTCTCTCTATTGAAGTTCATAGATATTCATATTATATTCAAATTATCGATTATAGATAAATCCATTTATTTTATCTTGTCAATCATTCTTATTCGATCTTATTTGCTTGATTCTCAACTCAATTCCATATATATTTTAGATTAGTTTATTTTGGCATAAACAATTTGGCGCCGTCTGTGGGAAATTCTTGCAAAAAGAAGATCGAACATGGCTGAAAGCTCTAACACTTTGATGGAGGAAATTCAAGCCCAACTGCAAGCTGTCAAGGAAGAGTTGCGCTTGGCGAGGAGCTCTAATCCTTCTGTGGATGATGTTCAGGCACAAATGGAGGCTGTCAGGGAGGAGATGCGTCAACGCATAGCCTTCCTCCAAAGGGAAAATGACGCCTTACGATCTCAGGTACAATCGGTGGCGTCCATTGCCTCCAACTCGCGACGGGGAAAAGAGATCATGTCTGCGGCTTCACGGGGGGGCACGGATCCAATACCGGCCTCAACCTCGACACTCACCTTCACAACCGAGTCCTTTCCGGAAATTTTGGATTTCGATCCATATGCTGGATACTCCCCGGTAGTTTCACAACTTGTGCCCTACGAACCTCTTGTCCCAGAAACGACTCCAGCGACGAGTGTCCCCATGTTTTTCTTTCCCGATTCGCTGCGAACCAGGATGACGACACCGGGTTTGCAGACTGTCAACCAGCAAATGCCGATTCCTATCACCGTGCCAGCACCAACGGTACCTTTTGTCCCCCATACAGAAGTTGGTGCGTCAGGAGGGGCTGGACCATCAGTTCGTCCTATCCCATTCGCAAAACCCAGGAGAAATGTATTCCGTAACCTATTCGCAGAGCCCCAGAGACAGCAAGCTCCTGGCCGTGTCGACATACCTAGACACGTCGACATCACAAATCAGAGACCCCAAGAGCATGTGGTCGTAGACACACCATCACCAGCCAGACAGGTAGTGGTTCAAGCGGCAACGCTGCCCGAAGCGGCGGTTCCGCCAATGCAGATGAACTTGGCAACTTCTATGGCCGCCCTCATGGAGGAGATGAAGGAGATGCGGGAAAAAATCAATGGCATACCTGGGGTCCCACCGCCGCTAAATGAGGCCTCGCAGACATGCTATGCTGATTCCCCATTCAGACGAATTATTACCAATGTCGAACTTCCAAGGAAATTTGCTGCACCTACTATGAGGCTGTTTGACGGAACGTCCGATCCGGTGGAACATGTCGCGCAATACAAACAGCGGATGTTGGCCGTTTCAGTCAGACCTGATCAGCGGGAAGCCTGCATGTGTCGGGCCTTTGGAACAACATTGACCGGACCAGCATTGACATGGTTCGTCAATTTTCCGAACGAAGGCATCCATTCATTTGCCGAATTGGTGAATTTGTTCAATCAGCAATTCGCAAGTAGTCGAACCCTAGAGAAGCAGGCCAGCGACCTTTATTAGGTGGCCCAAAGGGAAGACGATTCCTTACGAGACTACCTGCATCGCTTCAACAAGGAGAAAGTGTACATCCCCCGATGCGATATGTCGACAGCAGTGGAAGCCTTCAGAAGAGGGTTGCCGGAAGATTCAGAGCTATATCGGGAACTGACCAAGTATCCTTGCAGAACTTTTGAAGATGTCCAGGCCAAAACGCTAGCCTTCATCAGGCTCGAGGAGGATTCGTGATCTCGTCACTGACCAAACGGATATGAAGGAGTACAGAGGAAAGCCAGCACATCCAGAAAGCATGACTACCGCACTGAGAAACCCTATGCAAGGAATGAAGACCGTCCGGTGGCAACAATCGCTGGTTGGCTCGACGACCCGAATCTGCCTCCACCTATTTTGGAGTACTGCTTTAGCGTCGACACTTTGGGACTCATCAACTCTTTAGACAAACTGGGGGAAAAGGTGAATTGGCCCAGGAAGTATGTGAAACCCAGCGGACGTCGGGACCCTTCCAAAAGGTGAGAATTCCACGACGACATCGGGCATAACACGGAAGATTGTGTCGCCTTGCGGAAAGAAGTTGCCTACCTATTGAGAAATGGGTACTTGACGGAAATCATGACGGAACAAACCAAATCCATGTTGCATAGGAATCAAAAGTCGTCTGAGGATCAACGACGACCTCCCTCACCTACAGCCCCACAAAAGGTAATTAATTTCATTAATGGTGGTTCAGATTTATGTGGACTAACCTACTCTGCAGCGAAGAGACAAGCTCGGGAGTATTCCCGAGACAAGTCGTCATAGGTGTATCAAGTCGTCCGGAAAGAAGAAGCCTGGAAAAACGCACCAATTACATTCGATGAGACAGACTTGGCCAGTCCTATTGATGCCCATCATGACACCCTAGTCATTGCTCTTAAGGGTGGCGAACTGTGAAGTGAGACGAGTTCTGGTTGACAATGGCAGCACTGCCAACATCACAACTTTGAAGACACTAAAACAGATGAGATATAAAGAGGAAGACCTGACGACCTCCGGCTCCACCCTTGTCGGGTTCAATGGCGAACCAAGCAAGACGATAGGTAATGTATCCTTACCAGTACATGCGAATGGTCTTAACTTGCAGGTGAAGTTTGATGTTGTCCAAGATTTGCCCGCCTACAACATGATCCTGGGGACGCCTTGGCTACATCAAATGGGGACAATTCCGTCAACATACCATCAAGTGGTCAAAATTCCGACGCCATGGGGAGTGCAATCCATCCAAGGTGATAGGGTCGCTGCTAAATCATGCTACCAGACCGCAATGAAGCCAACAGCATCAACAACGACTTCGGCGTAGCAATTAAAGGGCGACTTCAACCCGGTTGGTGAAGATGATGGTAACATTAAGAACATCATCATTGACCCATGCTATCCGGATAGAGTCGTCCGCATTGGGACAACATGTCAACTCAACTGGAGGAAGAACTTGTCACTTTTCTGAAAGAACATAAAGATGTCTTCGCCTGGATCCATGACGACATGACGGGGATCGACCCGCAAGTGATCACTCATAGGCTGAATGTGAACCCTACTCATAAACCTGTCAAGCAGAAAAGACGACGTTTCGCAAGGGAAAGGAATGACATCATCAATCAAGAAGTCGAGACACTACTACGCACCGGTAAAATCCGCGAGGTAAAATATCCTAACTGGCTTGCTAATGTTGTTGTGGTGCAGAGGAAAAAAGGCCACCAAAAGGGCAAAAAACCTAAGTGGAGGGTGTGCGTCGACTTCACTAATTTGAACAAGGCATGCCCAAAAGACTCGTTCCCGATGCCGCACATTGACGTCCTCGCAGATGCCATAGCATGACACGAAATGCTAAGGACGCTTTCAGCGGTTACCATCAAATACAATTACACTTGGAGGACCAAGTGAAGACCGCATTCATCACCGAGACAGGTACATATTGCTATGTTGTCATGCCCTTCGGTTTAAAAAATGCAGGTGCCACTTTCCAAGGATTGGTCACCATGATCTTCAAAGACCAGCTGGGGAAAACCTTGGAGGTATATATTGACGACATGCTAGTCAAATCCAAAAAGGCAAAGGACCACATCGATCATCTGCGGAAGTCTTTCCAGAAGTTGCAAGAATACAATTTGAAGCTTAATCCTGCCAAGTGCACGTTTGGGGTGTCGTCAAGAGAATTCTTAGGCTACATTGTCAGCGAAAGGGGGATAGAAGCTAGTCTGGAACAAGTCCGGGCCATATTAGACATCGAATCTCCCAAATCAATCAAAGATGTCCAGAGACTGACCGGACGAGTTGCAGCACTCAACAGGTTCATATCAAAGTCGTCAGACAGAAGCCGACTTTTCTATGATGCCCTCAGAAAAAATAAAAAATTCGAATGGACAGAACAGCACGAAAAAGCTTTGCAACACTTGAAGGAATACATGACAACACTGCCGCTGCTGACAAAACCTAAAGACGGTGAGGAACTACAATTGTATCTAGTAGTGTCAAAACATGCTGTCAGTGCGGTCCTGACTCGGGAAGAAGACGGCCAACAAACACCAGTTTACTATGTAAGTAAGTCATTGAATGGGCCGGAAACCAGGTACGCACTTTTAGAAAAATTAGTACTCGCTCTAGTGACAGCTTCAATTAAATTGCGTCCTTATTTCGAATCACACTCTATTCGTGTTCGTACTAACTATCCCATGAGGTCAATCATGAGGAAACCAGAACTGACAGGTCGGATGATCAAATGGTCAATGCAGGTGGGTGCATACGACATCAAGTATGAGCCCAGAACAACTTTGAAATCACAAGCTTTAGCTGATTTTGTGGCGGACTTCAGTCCCAAATTACAAATGGAAGCAGAGAAAGAGATATGCCTGCCGATGGAAGAGCGACATCAACAAAAATGGACCTTACACACTGACGGAGCCTCGAATA